AATGTCAAAATTTTGAGTGCTGTGGAGGGTTTCAGGTTTATTATACAGGGAGTGGTTATGGGATGTAGGTAAGGCCTTTTCAGAATTCAGGAACCATTGAATACAATGTGGCCATTTGCTACATAAAAGTTATAGAACACCACAATCATGCTATGTTAGACTAATAAAACAAACATGTATTCAATTTGTGTACAGATATTCCTTATAAAAGCAATTTTTGTAGTTACTATGCTTGGTGTGTTGTGGACCTACAAACTATGTACAGTGGTGCCTCGCATAGCGAGGTTAATCCGTTCCGGATTAACCTTCGCTATGCGAAAACATCGCTAAACGGGAATAAAAAAGCCAAAAAGCAATTTTTGTAGTTACTATGCTTGGCATGTTGTGGACCTACAAACTATGTATATTGTAAGGGTTTCTATACTTGGTTGTGTGAGGGGATATGTAAGAGAACAAGGAAAGTGCAAGTCTGAAAAACTGAGATCTCTTAAAATATTAGGCAGAGCCGTCCTAGAGGTCTGTAACTAATTATGCCAGGATCAGATGTATAGTGCTGCTCTGCTGGCAATGTAGCTGTTGTATCCCATTGTATGCTCAGGAAGAGAAAACCCCACACAAGCAGAAAATACCAATGGGCAGGAAAATGACAGAACACCCCCAGAGTACCCAGTTGAGGAATTAAGCTGACAATGTACCACCCACCCACACTGAGTATCCCATGAATGCGAAGATCGCTAAGCGAATCGCTTAGCGATCATCGCAAAGCGAAAAATCGCCATAGGGGCCATCGCTGAGCGAACGCTCCAGCGATGGCCCGGACCCCCTCGCTATGCGAATTCATCGCATAGCGAAGCACTCGCTAAGCGAGGCACCACTGTATATTGTAAGGGTTTTTATACTTGGTTGTGTGAGGGGATATGTAAGAGAACAAGGAAAGTGCAAGTCTGAAAAACTGAGATCTCTTAAAATATTAGGCAGAGCAGTCTTAGAGGTCTGTAACTAATTATGCCAGGATCAGATGTATAGTGCTGCTCTGCTGGCAATGTAGCTGTTGTATCCCATTGTATGCTCAGGAAGAGAAAACCCCACACAAGCAGAAAATACCAATGGGCAGGAAAATGACAGAACACCCCCAGAGTACCCAGTTGAGGAATTAAGCTGACAATGTACCACCCACCCACACTGAGTATCCCATGAACTATGAGCTATGTGCTACTGCTGTGATGACACAAATCCCTGCATATCACATCAGAGTCAAGATGTCAAAGCAGAGAACCCCACTCCATCACTGACAGTGGCATAGCTGTCAATAATGTTTCTGCTTTTTAAAGTTTCCTGAAGCCCCATATAAATGTGGCATATGACTCCAGAAAAATTGTCGAAGATGTATACAGATGTATCAAATGTGTGTTGGAAATGTGAAGCGCATGTGGGAAGCTATTACCATATGTGGTGGTCATGTAGAGTAGCGAAACAGTATTGGAAAAGAGTACATGCTGTGCTGCAACAAATATTGCTTTGTAAGGTTCCACTAACCCCAGAACTGTTTTTATTGAGTATGATACCTGATAACATAGATAAGGAAAAGAAGTATATAGTTATATATATAGTCACTGCAGCTAGAATTCTTTATGCCAAAAATTAGAAAAGTCCAATGGTACCGAAACAAGAAGATCTCATAGAGAAGATACGGGAAACAGCGGAAATGGACATTTTATCAGAAGTGATGAAGGACTGTCCTCTACAAAAGGCAACTGAAAGATGGGACTTATTCTACTAATGGTTTGAGTCATTAGACATCGCTTGAAGAACATGCATTAGAATGAGAACTTAAATCTGGAAGGCAGTAAATAGCAAAAAGAGTAATTTGGAATGTTGATATGGCAATATGTGTAGAATGGATATTAGTATGTCATTGTTTCTCCTCTTCCCTTTAACCTCAATCCCTTTTTCCTTCCTGTTACCCTTTGTTAAAAATAAAATATTAAAAAAACAAACGTATAAGCAGGGGTTCGGATCTCTGTGTGTTTTATGAGCATATCACGTAAAAGAAGAAAGGGGGAAGATACACTTTCTCCATGGGTTCAGTATACATACTGGTGGCACTGTGATTGGTTGTTATCCTCACTTGGTTATGGCAACTTCAGCAGGCTGGCTATCAAACTGTCTCTTCCCCCTTACCTTGACTCTGGGTGGAAATTTTCTTGAGCACCATCAGTTGTATCATCAAAGCAATGTCAATACTGTATACTTCTATCCTGTGCTGCCTACTGATGTATCTTCATTGGTGGAACAGCCCCCTTAATAAATGTCCCACTGATATACTTGAAGCAGATGGTGTATTTTGTGTTCTATCAGACATAAGAAACATATTACTAGACCAGAGAAATCCTGAAATTTACGGATGAGCCTCCCCTCAGTCCAAAAGCCATTTGTAGTGCCAATGTAGCAAGACTTTTGTCATAGAGTATTTTAAAGCTTCTTGATAGCATACAGTAGGGATGGGGAAAACTGTGGTCTTCCAGATGTTGTTCAACAGCATGTCCTATGAGCTCCAGTCAGCAGTCAATAGTGCAGAATAATGGAAGCTGCAATCCAAAATAAGGCACATATTCTCCATTGCATAGGATAATGGCAAGAGGGTTCATGAATTTCCCCCAGGAGAAAGCTAATCGCCGAAGAATTGATGCCTTTGAATTGTGGTGCTGGAGGAGACTCTTGAGAGTTTCCTGGACTGCAAGAACAAACCTATCCATTCTAAAGGAAATCCACCCTGATTGCTCACTGGGAGGACAGAAACCAAAGGCTCCAATACTTTGGCCATCTCATGAGAAGAGAAGACTCCCAGGAAAAGACCCTGATGTTGGGAAAGCGTGAAGGCAAGAGAAGGGGACAACAGAGGATGAGATGGTTGGACAGTGTCACCAAATCTACCAACATGAATTTGGCCAGACTCTGGGAGGCAGTGGAGGACAGGAGGGCCTGGCGTGCTATGGTCTATGGGGTCACAAAGAGTTGGACAAGAGTTAACAACTAAACAACAACAAAGTAACTCTGTATACATTAAAATAATGTATAAATTTAGGATTCTGAAGTACTTCCTTGACTCCCAGAAATACCCATGAAATTCTGTGTTAAACATGGTTTTATTTGTTTATTATTTATCTGGACATGGTTGCGCTGTGGGCTAAACCGCAGAAGCCTGTGCTGCAGGGTCAGAAGACCAAGCAGTCGTAAGATCGAATCCACACGACGGAGTGAGCGCCTGTCGCTTGTCCCAGCTCCCGCCAACCTAGCGGTTCGAAAGCATGCAAATGCGAGTAGATAAATAGGTACTATCTTGGTGGGAAGGTAAACAGCGTTCCGTGTGTAAATCACACTGGCCATGTGACCACGGAAAGATTGTCTTCGGAGAAACGCTGGCTCTATGGCTTGAAGAGCAGGATGAGCGCCGCCCCCTAGGGTCGGACACGACTGGACAAAAATTGTCAAGGGGAACCTTTACCTTTATTTATCTGGAGTATTTTTGTCTTGCTTCTTAACTTTAAAAGCCCTCAGAGAGGCTTTAAAAAATCTGGAGCTTTCATTTTCTCTTTGCTTTTTTATAAATAAATATGGCTGTATTTGACTGGACCGACTTGACTTCTAGGTTTGTTTTTATTGTGTTAGAGCAACTGCAGTATAAAAAAAGATTGTATTACTATTCATCTATAAAACATAAAAAACTTTAAAATGTATTAATTCTGAGAGTACCACAATACATACTCTGGTTAGGTGATTACTGTAGGTTTGAAATGTTTCTGCAATATAGAAATTTAGTATTTTTACCCCGTCTTTAAAGGCACCCAAGGCGGCTATATGTTCATTGGCAAATACTAGAGTCTCCTGTGCGTTGTAAACCTGATTTGTCGAGAACAGGGATGCAGAGGCTGGGTTATATTTCAGTAACATCCCTGATAAACTTCCATGTCCCCCGGGGTGTTTTTTCTGCGAAAAAGGCAACGGTTGAGACCGAGCAGCCTAATTCTGCCGCAGAGGCGGCTGGGGGGGGGGACAGCTATCGGGAGACCTAAGGTCTATGTACAGTAGATGCTTCTAGAACACGGAGGTATATGCGGTATATTGTAGATGCGTTACAACTTTTCGCGGGGATCTCCAGGGCGCTTCTAGTTTATGTAGACAGGGGTGTGGTTTTTTTGGAGAAGGATTCCGTCCAACCCAGCCACACGCCCCGAAAATTGTTTTTTAAAAGCTTCGCAAAGCCACAGGTGTTTCTAGAAGCTTCTGGAATGCCAGTGAGGCACGGAGAGTCCTCCGGCTGTAGGTGTCTTATCCTACAGCGACACAACCCCATTCGGATTCGTATAGCCATGTGTGGATTTTACTTTTTGGGGGGGGGGCGGCGGCGGAGGGAGAACGTGTTGGGTATTTCCAGATGTGGGTCATTCCGCTCCAAAGGTGCCTCCCACGTTTATTGCCCGCCGGCCGGCGTGATTTCCCACGTGTAACTGAAAGGCGTGGGGAGGGGGAGGAAGGCAGAGCGAGTGGAAATTTCCACTCTGCAGTCGTAGCTGCGGCCACGAAGAGAAAGAGGAGGGGGAGAAAAGGCGGGACCAGCATCATCTCCACCGACAAGGGGAGTGAGTGAGAGAGAAAGAGACGGCGTCCTTCAGCTTCGTTCTCAGGCGTACCCGCTTTCGCCGGCCAACGCAGAGTCTAAGACAGAAGCGTCCGGCGGCGTGATTTGGGGATTCATGCGTCCCCAAAAAGCCCACTTTGTCCAGCCCGGGAACGGTAAAGAAGAGCAAGCGAGGAGGACCGAGAAGCGGCGCCTGACGGAAGCAAAGGGGCGGCCCCACGGCGTGAACGCACCCGCCGCCGCCGAGCGCTCTTAAAAGGCATCCGCCGGCGGCCGCCCTCCTAGTCGCAACAGCCGGAGACCGGTGGTGGGTCGGGCTTGGCAGTCGCTGCTACGCGCACACACACCTCTTCCAAGCCTCCGTTTCTTCTCAGGGGCACCCGAGCTGCACCTTCCCCACAAAAGATGCCCCGTTATGAGCTGGCGTTAATCCTAAAAGTCATGCAGAGGGTGAGTGTGCGTGTGGAGGGAGGTCCGCATGGCTAAACGGGGGGGGGGGGGGGGGGGGGGAGAGAAGAGAAGCCACCCTCGCTCCACGCCCTTCTCCTCCTCCTCCTCCTCGTCTCCCCCGTTCTCTTCTCCTTCTGGACTTCCCGCGCCGGCCCCACTTCCAATTTCTAGCCATGCCTCCACGCCGCCCTTCCTGTTCCCGTCCGCCCGCCTTTCCTTCCCCTCGGCAGCAGCGTGCGAAGTTGGAGGGAACAAAACCCATCCCGTGGCCTTGCCCTTCTCCTTTCTCCTTCCCCGCTTGCGCAGTAGCCTTGCCGGAAAATTTAGAGGAAGGGGCCCTTCTGAAGGAAAACAAGGGGTCGTGGTTCTGAGGCAGCCCTGCTTCCTCTCCCACCCACCCCGCGCCTCCCGTCTTGTCCCTTCCTAAGCGCCTCAAAAGCGCACGGCTTCGCTCCTCTTGTTAAAAACCGAAAGGACATACTTGGGGGGGGCACTTCTTCTCGGTTTATCCCCCCCAGTGGAAAACCTTTATTTTCATTTTTAAAAATGTAATTGCTGTGTCGCGGGGGGGGGATGTTCAGCAGGCGCTACTTGCAAAGGGTTCCGCGGGCCACACGCAGAGATGCCCATTTTACGCACCGACATGCGCGCCTCGCCGCCCGGTTTTCAGGCGCTGGCCGTTTCTCCGCCCTGCCCGCTTGTCGCATCGCACCAGGTGATCATTTTCGCGCTTGTTTTAAGCGCGGTCACGGCTGAACGGTGGACACGGGTAGTTAGAATACCTTTCGAAAGAGAGACTCCTCCTCCTCCTCGGGTTTTTGAGTCTCGTACTGCACATTACAGAAGCAGGAATGAATTCCGCCCCAGAGAAAAGAGGGAATTTGTTGAGAACGGCAGGACAGAGAGCTTAAAAGTAAAATAAAATTTAGAAATCCTGCCGTTGTTGTAACTTCTTGCACTTCTTCCGTGGTTAATAACATTGCAAAGTAGTATGGGAAGCCTGCTGGGTTTCTTCTTGGCTGTGAACACAACGAGTGGTGGGGAGGAGCCACAGCAGAGCACTTTGCATGTGGAAGGTCCCAAGATCAATCCCCCACAGCTTGTATTAGGGCTAAAAAAAATTGCTGAGCAAAATACTGGAAAATACTTAGCTAGGTGGACCAGTGGCCTTATGTTGGTATAAGATGGATTTTTATGTTGATTATAGTGAAAAACAAAGAGTATGGCGTTTATATTTTTTTCTTCTGGACTAGCATAGTCTGAAAAAGCTCTTGACAGAGATAATCAGGGTTTAAAAAATGCTTCATTTTCTTTTCAGTGAATCAATTTTATGAAATAAAAGACTTGTTACACTTTAAATTTTGACAGAATTACATGACAGTGTCATCTTGTGCATATCTACTCAGAGTTAAACCCCATTGAGTTCAGTGAGACTTAACTCTTAAATGAGTTTGTTTAGGATTACTAAGCTGAATGTTCTGGTATAGTTTTGCATCTGTAGATTTTACTGACTAAAATCTGTATTATACAGCTCAGAAGTTGCAGTCTGTGTGTTTGATGTACATACCTGAACACTTTATATATGACTCCTCTACCTTAATTTAGTACTGTATTAAATTTACCAAATTCCCTGGTTTATTGCTAATAAACTCTAAGACACTCTTGGAGAGTGTAAGCCTGGTGCAGCAGTAAAGTGCTGAATAGGATTCAGGAGTCATGGATTCAAATACTGACTTAATCATGAAAATTGACTGGTGACCTTGGGTCAGGCAGTCTTTCAGCATCGTATCAGAATTTTCAAAGCGGTACTTCTTCCTTATGACTACCTTACAACAATTTCCAGAGGTATCCATGTTGTTTTTGTTTCTTCTGAAAGTGTCCAGAGTATTATACTGTAGTTACTCTTCAGTGTAGTCAGTGATGACTAAAAGGCAAGACTAGGTGATACCTTTATAGACCACTAAAAATATCATACAATCTACAAAATTTTGTGGATCAGGACCACTTTGTCAAGCATGTACCAGTGCAAAGAACTTAAAAGTCCAAAAGTTCGTGGCAAGATGGATTTTGCCAGGAAAGTTACTCATAGATGTTAAGTCCAAAAGTTTCTTGGCAAGATGGATTTCACCAGGTATGTATTTCTTAGATATAAGTCAGGAAAGATGCAGGCTGCATTAGAGCTGTTGTTTTAAAGTTGCTGCTGAGACAGCTGTGGATTGGGTATCACACCCCAGTTCTTTAAACAAAGAGGTAAACACCATGCGTGCATACACTTTCCCATTGGGCCTTTTTTTAAAAAACAGACATAATTCTGCTTGGTTAGGGAGGTGGGGGTGACACAAAAAAACCCAGAGTCCTGCATCTGGAAATTGGGGAGATAATTTAGTAAGCTCAAGTTGAGTAAGATTAAAGTCAAAACAATAATACTATCTAGTGGTTGCAGTCCTGGAATAAAGTCAACTGTTTATAAACATTAAACATGTTTATAGTATTTGCCAGTTCCTTACCATATACCAGTAATCAGGAAATGTATTTAGATAGTAGGTTATCTTACCTTAATTTTTGCTTATAAATATATTGTAAAGTTGAGAGTTCAGCTCTTTGATTTCACTGAAACCCACTTCTGGGTAAAACTCCAGTTTACTAGATTTGTGCTGCCAATTGTCACTGCTGTTCTGTATACTCACCGGAAGAGGGAGGTAGGAGTCAAAACTGGTCAGTGTAGAGGACAGACTGTGTTGTACAGCAAGGCCTTTTCCTTGGTTCTATTCATTGTAATCTAGTTTTCTGTTGTTCATTTTCTCAACTTGTATACTTGTTGAGCAGTTATTCTTACTGAGAAAAAAATCATATACTTTACTGACCTGGTTGATGTAACATAATAAAACAAATAAATGCAGTTTTTGATTGTGTGAGAGTTGTGGAGTTACTTAGCTATAGAAGCTGTTGCTTTAAGTCCTGCATTGTATGATTACTTTAAAAATGAGCATCTTTTATCTTGACTGTTCAGTTACCTTGCTGTTGAATCTGACATGCAGTAGACCATGTTTGCTTACTTGTATGAAAGATCACCTGCGTCCAGGTAACTATGGGGATGACCAACCAAGTTATGCTGAATTATGTAGTAGCAGCTCTCTAAGGCAACAATAAGACTCAGATTTTATTTGAGTGTCTGAAAATACACGTTTTTATGTTTTGACTGTCTGTTTCTATGTGGAATAGATAAAGGAAATCTGGAAAGGGCTACATGAAAATTGCCTAAATTTAGGTAATTCTGTGGAATAGATAAAGGAAATCTGGAAAGGGAATTTAGGTAATTCCGATCCATAAGGCCCTTTGTTTGAATCTTAACTGTACAAGTATGTACTGAGAAACAGGCCTGCTGTTGTAATGTTTACTTAGTGGCTGTGACTGCAGCTGGCATATGTCCTACTGATTTTCTTAAGTATGTCAACGGGGACCATTTGGGTTGCTGGTGCCAGTTTTAAACAGCTTGCTTCTTAGTGGAGGACATAAGTTGGTGGCAGGGCCAATCCAAAGAAGGGCAATTGCCATGTTACTTAATGACTTCATGAGTTTCCCTAAAACAGATTTTGTTTCATAAGATCTCCTGTGATCAAGTGAGGGCTTTTGGGTGTTGTAAAAGTGTGAGAAGTAAGGGAAGAATAATACAAGAGAAATGCTGGTAGATCATGATAATGAGAGTGTAGAAAAAAACGGAGCATGCAGTTAGTCTGCTGAAATGTCATCCTAAAGATTTCATGTAAACTGAAAAATGAGATATGTCTTTTCTTCTCATCATTGTTCATTGAAAAGGAAAATTTGCAGTGTAGTTGGATTTAATTGATAGGGTGGGATCTGGAGAATCCCTTCTGGGATTCTCTTGTGGCCAAAGGTTGGGTGTTTCTGATGTTTGTCAGTTCTCGCCTAGCCTCAGTCACCTTGGAACTAAAGTAAGAAAGTGGATATGGGAAGGTCCAGTTTCATTTGTGTTGTTTGGATGTCACCCATAGTTTTTAAGAGGTAGAATTTATTTTCAAATACTGGGTTTACTTAGCAAGTAAATGTAAGAATGTGCAGTATTGATGTATTGTGCCTAAATTCTTTGAGGTGATAGCATATTAAAACAAACTAAAAGCTGAAGCTTTTTATATTTTGCTTTTAGCTTGTGCATTAATTTGTTTCAAAATTTGATAAAATATGAGAGTGTAGAGTACAGTGGACCCTTGACTTACAGACGGCTTGACTTACAGACTTTTTGAGTTACAGACTTCTCTGGCTGCAAAATTTAGGTTTGACTTGCAGGCTGAGATTTGACTTACAGACCAGAAAAAAACCAAAATGGAACAAAAACGGCCTTTTACGGGATTAATCGGTTTTCAACGCACTGTAGGTCAATGGAGACTTGACTTACAGACTTTTTGACTTGAGAACCGCCTTCCAATACGGATTAAGTTCTCAAGTGAAGACCCCACTGTAGTAAAAACCAAGAGGTCTCAGGATCTGATGTTGCTGATCAGATATTTTGTGTGCTTAAATTTCATTTGAGTTAGTTTTATAAGAGTTACAGTGAAAAATGATCTAATTCTTTGTTGTAATAATTAGAGTTATATAGTAATAATGGAGTTATTGTAAAGTTATTGCTTCTGTAGGGAACAGAAGATTCCTGGTTATATTAAAAATGCAGAGAGAGTTTCTTAGAGCAGGTAAAGTTATTTATCTAGAAAATTTTGCTGAAGTAATTCTGTAGTTTACGTTATCCCTTGAAGTATTTAAACTTTGTACAGTAGTGCCTTGCAAGACAATGTTAATTTGTTCTGCGAAAATTGCTATCTTGTGAAAACACGGTCTTGCAAAACGCGGTTCCCCATTGGAATGCATTGAAATCTATTTAATGCGCTCCAATGGGGGGGAAACTGTCTTGCGAAGCATCGTTCTTTAAAAAAAAACCTTGTGAAACATGGTTTCCCATTGGAATGTATTGAAACCTATTTAATGCGTGCCAATGGGGGGAAAATCAATGTCTTGCAAAAATCGTCCATAGAAAACATCATATTGCGAGACGCGGTTCCCCATTGGAATGCATTGAAATCTATTTAATGCGTTCCAATGGGGGGAAAACTGTCTTGCGAAGCATCGGTCTAAAAAACCCCCCCTTCTTGTGAAACATGGTTTCCCATTGGAATGCATTGAAACCTATTTAATGCGTTCCAATGGAGAAAAAAACGGTCTTGCGGAACATTGGTCTAAAAAAAACACACCCGTTTTGCGAAGCATAGACCCAAACATCGTCTTGCAAAAATCGTCCATAGGAAAAACCGTCTTGAGAAGCGCAACAACAATTGCAAAAACCCATCGCCTTGCGGATTAATTGTCCCGTGAAGCAATCATCTTGCGAGGCATCACTGTACTTGAATCACATATATGTTGTTGTAAAGGAGGAGTGGCAGGAGGTAGTTTGTATTGAACTATTACTGGGTTTCTGACTAGACCATCTAGTACAAGAATAGGAAAAGCTCTTTCATCCTCAGGGTTGAATGCAATTTCAGTGTTTTGCGGTGTGTGTGTGTGTGTAGGAAAGGCAATCTGGTGATCATTGGGGCCCAAGGCAAAGGAGCTGGACCAAAAAGCCCTGCATATTTTAACTTAAATTTCATTCTGCCAGTAAGTCTTAGAAGAGGCATTTCAACCTTTCTAAATGAGGCAGCTATATAGTACAAAGGTTATGAAACTAGTTGAAGGATGGTACCATGGGGAGGAGGGCATCATATTTATGGGAATCTTTGTAGACCATACTGGGCCCCCGTCATAACTCTGAAAATAGCTCACCTTTCCTGATCCATTGTTGTCAATACCTGTCTGAAAATATAACACAGTATATTTGATGGTTGTGCTCTGAATTGATTTGTTTGCTAAAAGCGGTAAGTTATGTGAATTGCGCATCAATGTAAATTGCAGATTTGTAGGCTTCCCTGTGAATTTTGTTTCATTGTATAGATGTGTGGCTCATGCATATCATTCATCTAATTTTGTGTGACTACTTTGAGGTTTCAAGTAATTGTCCTCTTTTCCCATGATATATAGGTTCAGCCTGACAATTTAACCTCAACTGAATTTTGTCATCTTGTAGATTTAGTTATATACTGTGTCCTCTTTTCCCATGATATATAGGTTCACCCTGGCAATTTAACCTCAACTGAATGTTGTCATCTTGTAGATTTAGTTATATACTTTAACTCTACTGCTGTAATATGCTGTGTTCTCCACAGCAGAGAGTCTCTTAAAATATGTATACTTATAAATACTGTAGTGGTCCTTGAGCACTGCCTACCATTTATAATGGATTGGACGAGGGGCATTACACTGAAATTGAATCCAGATAAGATGGAGACTCTACTGTTGGGAGGATCATTGGACTGAGTAGAAGAATACCTGGCCTTGATGGATTTACACTTTTCCTTGAAGGATTGGGTTCAGTTTGGGTATATTTTTGGACCCAGCACTCTTTTTGAAGGCAGAAATATCTGCTGTGGTCAGGAGTGCTTTTTATCAACTCCATTGCCCAGCTGCACTCCTACCTGGGTGAGAAATGTCTAACAACAGTGGTTCATGCAATGGTAATCTCTAGAATAGATTATTGCAATGCTCTCTTCGCAGGGCTGTCCTTGAAGTCAGTATGGAAATATCAGCAGGTTCAAAATGAAGCTGCCAGACTGGTTACAGGTACCAGCAGATAAAAAAACATATCATCAGTCTTGGTGCTTCTCCACTGGTTCCCTGTTAGTTTTTGTGCCCGATTCAAGGTGCTGGTCATGACTAGAGATGGGGATATTTGAATGCGAATATCCCTGCACAGGTGGCAATAACAAGGGTCCAGCACATGGGGCTGGACGGTCCACTCACTGATGTGTCTCTGCTGCAGACACCACAATCCTTCCAGTGGCTTCGTGGATCGTGATTGGCTAGCCACCCCTGGTGGGAGATGGGAGGACAAACCTCGCTGCAAGGTCGAAGAGTGGCTTGCAGATCGTGATCTGCAGAGCCATTGGAAGAATTGCGGCGTCTACAGCAGCAGCGGATTGGTGAGTGGACCATCTGGACCCTCATTATCACCACCTGTGTGGGGATATTCATATATGAATGCCCCCATCTCTAGTTGTGTCCTATAAAGCCCTTAACAATTTAGGACTGCAATACTTGTCAGAAGTCTCTCCCACAAAATAGGTAACCGTCCCACATGCTCCTCCTTGATGTTATCAGTTATAACGCGCCCACAAAATAGGTAACCGTCCCACATGCTTCTCACAGTCCTTGATGTTATCAGTTGTAACGCATAAAGAGGACAAAAGAGTTAACGCCAGAGGTTGTTTTTTTTTTTAGTTTTCTAAGATACAGTCCTGTTGATATTTATGCAGATGTAAATCCTTTTAAGTTCAGTGGGATTTACTCCCTATTAAGTATGCTTAGGACTGCAATCTCAAGGCCTAATAATATTATGCTTGCTGAAAGGTAGTGGAACGTATTTCTTTTAGCTATTCACATTTCCTCCTTTGACACTACCTGTCTGAGTTGCCTCTCTCTCTCAAAACGTCTACTTATCCCACCCATACCTCATATACTTCGATGCTGCAGGTAATGACCATGACAGAATCCCAAAAATCTATTACTCGAAACTGGCCCTTCTCTGTGGTCACCACATTGCTTTGGAACTCGCTCCCACCTGAGGTACGATTATCCCAATCCCTCCTTGGATTTAGGAAACAGGTTAAAACCTGACTGTTCACACAAGTCTTTTATGGCCTTACTCCAGAGTAATCTCACTTGAATCCCCCCCCCCAGCTTATAAACTTCCCTGTTTTTGCTGCATCCTAATTCAGGAAAAAAAGACTCTGGTTTGTGAATTCAGAGAAAACAGTGCACATTCTGATTATTTATTGATGAACTCTGTTTAAAGGTTGGAAAGTTATTTCTTTCATGATGTAGAATTCTGTGTGACATTTACAAGGGAAGAAAAGCTGCTATTTTATACAGCTAATTTTTTGAGAATTCAGTTTTTTTCTGGTGCTTAGTAAAAGCCTTCTCTAATTCAATCTTTGTCTTTTGTCTTTGCTGCCTTGCAGGGTTGGTACAGTAGGCCTCACTAACTTAGCTGCATCTAAGAATTTCTGCTACATCAACAAAGTTAATGGTGATGCTCTTGTGGATTGGCGAATTAAAGTGCGTGCTAAGTATTTAAGAAGCGGAAAAAACAAATTTTGTCTTCTCAAAGTTGTACTGCAACCACTACTATCAAGACAGCAAACCAATGGACAAAGAATTTGATCCACAGTGTTTGTAAAACTAAACTGATTTGTCTTACTAAAGCTTGGGGTCTTTGATCTTGGACTTCAACATTTGGAATTTACTTTGTTTACAAAAATGAGGGCAGCTTTGGAACCAGCAGACATTGCCGTTGTGGCAGTGTATTTTGTGCTTGTGATGTGCATAGGCTTTTTTGCCATGTGGAAATCCAATCGAAGCACTGTAAGTGGTTACTTCCTGGCAGGGCGATCTTTGACGTGGGTAGCAATTGGTGCTTCCTTGTTTGTGAGCAACATCGGGAGCGAACATTTCATTGGTCTTGCAGGATCTGGAGCAGCAAGTGGATTTGCCGTTGGGGCATGGGAGTTCAATGCCTTAATGCTTTTACAGCTCTTGGGATGGATCTTTGTTCCAGTCTACATACGATCAGGAATATACACCATGCCTGGATACTTATCCAAACGCTTTGGAGGGCACAGAATTCAAGTGTACTTTGCAGTGTTGTCTCTGGTTCTGTATATCTTCACCAAACTTTCAGTAGACTTATATTCAGGTGCATTGTTTATTCAAGAATCACTGGGTTGGAATATTTATTTGTCAGTTATACTGTTGATTGGAATGACTGCATTACTGACAGTGACTGGGGGTCTCGTGGCAGTCATCTACACAGACACGGTTCAAGCTCTTCTCATGGTTGTTGGTGCCTTCACACTTATGATCATAAGTATATCAGAAGTTGGTGGGTTTGAAGAGTTGAAGAGAAGATACATGTTGGCAAAACCAAATATTACATCAATCTTGTTGACATACAACCTTTCCAATACTAATTCCTGCCATGTTGACCCAAAGCCTGATTCACTGAGAATGTTGCGTGAACCAACTGATGAAGATATTCCATGGCCTGGTTTCCTTTTGGGGCAGACTCCAGCTTCTGTATGGTACTGGTGTGCAGACCAAGTCATTGTTCAGAGAGTTTTAGCAGCAAAAAACATTGCTCATGCCAAAGGATCCACTCTGATGGCAGGTTTTCTAAAGCTTTTGCCCATGTTCCTTATAGTTGTTCCAGGGATGATTTCACGAATACTATTTCCAGAAGATATTGCATGTATCAATCCAGAACACTGTATGCAAGTATGTGGGAGCAGAGCTGGATGCTCTAACATTGCCTACCCACGTCTGGTAATGAAGCTTGTTCCTGTTGGCCTCCGAGGCCTTATGATGGCTGTAATGATTGCTGCATTAATGAGTGATCTTGATTCTATATTTAATAGTGCCAGTACTATATTTACACTTGATATCTACAAGCTCCTCATACGGAAAAATGCATCATCCAGAGAACTAATGATTGTTGGAAGAGTTTTTGTTGCTTTTATGGTGGTAATAAGCATTGCCTGGGTGCCAATAATAGTGGAGATGCAAGGAGGCCAAATGTATCTATATATACAAGAGGTAGCAGACTACTTGACTCCACCTGTGGCTGCTATATTTCTCTTGGGTGTGTTTTGGAAGCGTTGCAATGAGCAAGGGGCCTTTTTTGGTGGAATTGTTGGATTTGTTTTGGGAGCTGTACGACTGATACTGGCATTTATCTATCGTGTCCCTGAATGTAACCAACCAGACACAAGGCCGTTCTTTATTAAAAGTATCCATTACATGTATGTTGCAACTGCACTGTTCTGGATCACTGGAATTGTGGCTATAACAGTAAGTTTGCTTACACCGCCACCTTCAAAGGAACAGATTCGCATGACAACATTCTGGTCTAGGAAAAAGAGGACACTGAAAGAAAACACTTCAGTGGGCAGTTCATTCAAAGCACAAGAGAAGACCATCTTAAAATATAGTGAAACTCCCAATCTTATCTCTTCAAATGGGAAGTCTGAAGAAAATGATAAAAATGATCAGCCGGAAAATGTTAATCTTCTCCTTACTTGCACAGATGACAGCAATCCAGTGATTTCTCTGAGTAACTCAGAAGTTGAGACACCAGTTGATTGTTACTCTAATGGTCAGGCAGCTCTTATGGGTCAAAAGAAGACTAAGGAGGAAGATGAGGAGGAGACAGAGGGTAGTAAGAAAAACTGGAGATTCATAGATTGGTTCTGTGGCTTTAAAAGTAGAAGTATGAATGATAGAGTCATCCCAGAGAAGGAGGAAGATGAGACTATTTGTCTACAAATGCTGGAAGAAACCCCAAAAGTTAAATTACTACTAAATTGTGTATTATTCTGTGTGTGTTCACTTGGAATATTCATGTTTGTTTATTTCTCTTTGTGAACAAATGATTACTTTTAAGAGTATGGTCAAACTGAAGTAGAGACAAGGTTCTTTGGAAAATATTTATATAAAAATTATGTATGTGTTTGTGTCTTAACATCTCAGGCATTCTTTACACTATTATCAGCCAAACTATTTTTCAACCAATCTGAAAATCATTTTTAAAATACATCAGAACATTTGTGCTTTAATGCAGAATGTCTGGGGAACTGCAGTATGGAAAGCTGAGTTTTGGATACCAAAAGGAGACATTAATGTGTTAAAGGTGAAATCCTTCAGCATTCTGTCAAAAATAAAAATAGGGTTAAGATTAGAATATTAACACTTCCAATCTGGTTAAGTTGTATATTATAAAGAATGCAGTAGAAGATTTCTGAATGTGAGTAGATACTATATTCTGAATGATGTGAATAAAGCAGCTTTTTCTGGGATTTTTCCTACCCCTCAGATTTACAGATCTAGCTATGTGTTCACTCCCCAGCCCCATAAATTTTATCTGATCCCTGGTATTTCAGGTGGTTGGAATCCCACACTGTACAATTCTACAGCTGCCCTTTTTCTTTTTTTAGATAAAGCCAAATATTTTAAAACAGTCTGTGCTCTTGCTGTCTATTTTAAAAAAACTATTAAAAGTAGTGAATAGATACCTGTGCAAAGCTGTGCAGAAAGAACGGTCCAGACCAGACAAGCTGACATCCTCTAGATATACTGATTTCCAACATCTTACCAACATTCCTCGTAGGATGATGGGCATTGTAGTCCAATACATTTAGATAGTGTCAGTTTAGCAAAGGCAGCTCCAGAAAGTCAGTAGAATATTAATCTGTCTGGTATATTTATAAATGTATGTTATTTTGCTTGTATATCTATTTTTTATCATACATTTTTTCCATTAAAATCTTTAGGATTACTACAGTATTTTCCACAGTGTATGTTGGCAAAGGAAAGAATCTAGCGTTCTTCCCCCTGCCCCAGCCTTTGTACAGTCTATATACAGTGTAATGTTCTGTTTAAATCTGTTCTGGTGTCTGATGATGAATTAGAAAAAAAAACTGATACAGACAGGTGCCCTTTTCTCTTAACATTCCTTTATTTGGGTTTCATTTTTTTGGTGGGAGGCGGTTAGGAGCAGAAAAAGGTTATGTAATGTCCTCGTTTTCCCTTTTCAAAGGAAATCTTAATGTTTCAAGGCATATTTACTCTTTCCTCTTGAGGTTATAGACTAAAGACATGTAATGTAAGTAAGATTGGTAACCAAAGCAGAAAATATTTAAATGGGACAACCCCAGTGTAGCTATGAATATGAATTTCAGCAACTGCATTGCTTAACTTCAGTGCAAACGGAAGCATTTTGGCCACTGTTTTTCCTCAGGATTGGATTTTTAAATGAATGCCACAGGAAGGACTTGTCTCAGCCTGGCAGCTGTTGTGGCTGTGGTTGTGGCAGCAAGGAGCACTGTTTTTCTGTCCCCTCAATCCTCAACGTTTTGAATGCTTATGCGGCACAATGGAGGACAGTAGCTGCACCTCCGTGCTGGAGAATTGGCAACAGGCAGGGCTCATGGAAATAGTTCCTGGAAGTCATGAGTGACTGTAGAACCTCTTCAGAAAGCTCTCCTGTAGCAATATGGTTGGGGGCCCTTATCCATGGGATCAGTATCCAATGATTCACTTATCCATGGTATGAAAAATATTAAAAGAATGAATCTATAAAAAAATTATGTTCACATGTATTACCGGAACTGGCTACTAGCAGCAGCCAGAGACTGTGCCATGGATACTTGTTAGTGAATAATACATAGTATGATCTCTGGATGGTCAGTTCTGGTAATGCATGTGAAAATATTTTTTTTGTTTTTTCCCCCTTCCTTCTTTTGTTCTTTCTATCGGTTGGTCAAGTATGTCCACTATTCATGGTTTTCAGAATCCATGGGGAGAGGCTTGGAACCAATCCCCAGTGGATATGGAGGCCCTATTTTATCTAAAACAGCAATGGCGAATCTATGGCCTGCGTGCCACAGCTGGCATGCAGAGGCTTTTCTGCAGGCACACGAGCCATAAGTCACTGGATAGCTACTCCACACACACACACCCCGCAGCCAGACCTCTGGAGGCAGCTGCAGCCGTGGTGCTGGTGCTTCGACAGGCAGCAGGCCAGCATCTGCAGCAGCTGACACTGGCAGCAGATCTGGAATGGGGTCTCGAGGCACCTCTGTGCCCAGGATTCCCCCTCCTTCTGCCACTTCCACTTCCGCCACCACCACTTCTGGTTTTGCCACCTGCTGCCTGCCAGGTTTTTTGTTTCCAGTTTGGACACTCAGGCTCAAAAGCATTTGCCACAACTAAAATTCAGATTGGGAAATACTAATGATGATACTGTCTTTAATCATGTTACTCTGCAACTTGCTTTGTAAATTGCTGTTTAATGCTGAATGACTCCAGATTATGAGCAAATCAGGGCCTGTAGTCTATAGTCTGACTGTAATCTTGATTTGCTGGTGTGTGATTAAAAGCAGCTTGCCATGTAATGTGCTAGACAGCTTTTGAAATTTGAGAGCTCTCAATTCATATATTGGGCAGTACAGTGGTGCCCCGCATTACAATGTTAATTTGTTCCAGCGAAATCGCTGTAGAATGAAAACATTGTAAAGCGAAATAAAAAAGCCCATAGAAACGCATTAAAAACTGTTTAATGTGTTCCTATGGGCTTGAAACTCACCGTCCAGCGAAGATCCTCCATAGTGTGGCCATTTTTGCTGCCCGTGCAGCGAGGACTCCATCGCAGAAAACAGCGGGGGGCCATTTTAAACCGCCAATCAGCTGTTTTAAAATCGTCGTTTTGTGAGAATCGGTTCCTGAAGCAGGGAACCGATCATCACAAACCGAAAAAACCCCATTCAGATCATCGTTCTGCGAATGCAATTGCAATCGCAAAAAGATCGTCGTAATGCGGTTTCATGGTTAAACGGGGCGCCCGTCTTGCGAGGCACTGTATATGAAATTGAGAGCTCTCACTGGACCAAGAGCCTACTTAGTAGAATGGCCTTCCATGCCCAGAGAGAGCAATTGTTGCTAGTTTTGAGATGTTGATTAGTAGAATGGCTGCTGAATTGGAGAATGTGGTTCTTGTTGGCACTTGCAGTGATGGCTGTGTTTTCAGTGAGTTGGCAGCTGTTGCATGTAGGTGGGCTAGCTCAGGGATCAGTTTGGCTCCCATCCATCTCTCCTCCTAAGATGCCTTTTATAGACTAAGCCATGTTCCAGGCATTACTGCCACATTAAAATAGCAATGTCTAATATTTCTTTTGTCCTGATCCCAAGACACAATATTTATGCAGTATTATGAATGTATATGGCAGCATTTATTTTGGATCAATGTTAATTATTAATGCAATACAGCCATATTCCAAGGGATAATGCAGTGTGTAAAAACCTAAATATCAGACCACTTTGCAAGTTAGAACAATAATGGAAAGGTTTGCCAAAGTCTATAGAAAAAATTACCTGCAAGTTTATCCTATTTGGGCCCATATAACATTTTTATTTTCTCTTTTGTTTGTACATGATCTATGTAATCTTACAACATTGTCATATTTAGGCAGCTATTTCATAACTAAAGGGACGTGGTGGCGCTGCAGGTTAAACCGCAGAAGCCTCTGTGCTGCAAGGTCAGAAGACCAGCAGTTGTAAGATCGAATCCACGTGACGGAGTGAGCTCCCGTCGCTTGTCCCAGTTCCTGCCAAACTAGCAGTTCGAAAGCATGTAAATGTGAGTAGATAAATAGGCACCATCACGGTAGGAAGGTAACAGCGTTCTGCGTCTAGTTGCGCTGGCCATGTGACCATGGAAACTGTCTACGGACAAACGCTGGCTCTATGGCTTGGAGATGAGGACGAGCACCGTGTCCTAGAGTTGGACACGACTGGACCAAATGTCAAGGGGAACCGTTACCTTTACCTATTTCAGAACTATAAATGATTTTCTTGGCATATGCTTACCTCTCCTGGGCTCTCCTGCTTCAGACTGCCAGGTTCTAAGCCAAAATACTACCTGTCATTTTAAGACATCATAGGATGTGATGAAGCAGTCAGAACAATGTTTCCTGTTCTGTTGTGCTGTGGGGAACAAACTGTAATCCTGGTTACTAAATCACTTGCAAAGTAAGGTTCTGCAGTGGTAGGATTAAACATGCTATTAAAAACCTTTTATTTGCACTCTTGTTGCAGGTCCAGATTATCACCTAAACTGCTTTAATAAACCAGGACATTAAACTATGATTTGTTACTTTAGTTTGCCAGCTAGTTTTGGTTCAAGCAAACCACAGTTCCTGAGTTTACATAGGATAGGAAACTCATTTGTTCTAAAGTTGCTTGTTCTTACTTGCAAAAGAGAGTGGGAAGGGAGAAAGTCTGTTTTAGGCCCAGTGAAGATTGTACAGTCTTAGATTTTAGGTATGAAACTGTGATCTGTTTGCAGGTTTCTTGCTCTCAGTGGTATCATCTGGTCTGCTAAATGACAGTCTCTGGGTTAGAACCTGACAGTCATGTTCCTTCCTGTTTTCTCTCTTTAGCAGAAGATATCCTAAGTGTGACTTATATAATATAACCTCCTAAACCAGTTCTTATGTGGTTGCAAGAATATTGGCGTTCCCATATTCCTTTATTCTTATTACTAAAAATTCCTTTTAGAATATCTTCTTATGGTTTTTTCTTCAAAGTAAACAAGTAAATGTGTAGTAGCTTGTTATAGTGCCTTTTAGTAGCAAAATATAACCTTGTTAGGTTAGTGTATCTCATCTGTGATGAAACTACTTATTTCTTGCTAATTCTTCATATTTCTACTTACATCATGAGGGAGCATTTATATTTTTCTAAATCCTTCTGTTACTTATCTTTCTAGCCATAGTCTAGAAAGTATTTAAATAGCAGTTTAGAGTCTGTTTATGGTGTGATATTGGTTTGTTTTGTTTTAAAAGAAGACATAACACATAGAACAATTATTCTCTAAATAATAAAACTGTTTCATGTATTGCCAGATCTCTGCATCTTACATTACACTGGCTTTTACTGTTTCATTATATGTAATGACATTTAAGAAAACTAAAAGAAAAATGGCCCTAAAGAAGAATGTTACTGCACAATTTATTGCTGCTTAATATAATGTAAATTGTTCACCCTGTTAGCCATTGTTCTAAGAGTAAATATATTTTTGTGCCATTTTATTAACACAGCATTCTGAAACTTGTAAACCACTGTAAATTTTTCCTCTTCTAAATCTTGCCACTGAGGAGAATTCCAACTTTGATCCTCTGGGCTGTGTGCTAGAAATAATATTTCCTGCATTCCATAGATATGCCTTCCATCTATCTTATGGCTTGCCATATAGACAGCATGGTTTCTTGTTAGCGATAGTATAATCTTAACTGGCTTGTATATTCTTGTAAGAGGCTAACAGACATTCAAAGGGACTTTCTCATAGACTGCCGTTCATTTGTAGAACGTAAGCTTTGGTATTCTCTCAGGGGCCAGAACATGTTGAAATATGGGAGCAAACAATCATTCCAGTACTGTATGGATTTGGCCAGCTGTATGAGAATTCCTTCTGTGTCTCTTGCAAATTATTACCTTGCATGTCAGCATAACACTTGATCAAGCCCTGCTTCAGACTTTCAGACCTGTTTTAAAATTAGGGTTTCTAAAGTTAATTTAAACTAACAGAAGCTGTACGAGGGCTTTAAATTTGCACTGTATTCAGGGGAAAAATAGTTTTGATTTTGGAAAGTTACCCTTTTTTGTTGCCAAAGTTCCTTGCTGCTTTATTATCCAGAAGAAACAAGAGTCTGACTGTGATATCTGTATCTTCTTTTTCTCTTTTGCAATCATTTCAAAACTCTTAGCATGGCACTTGTGGTGTGCCTCATAAATCACTTCCCTAGTGCAAAACACCTTTTTTGGGGGCGGGGGAAAGAAAGAGATGGAGTCTGGATTGTTGGTTAATTGTATACATACAAATGTCATTTTGTTGAATATTACAGCTTTATTTTAAAAATTCCTTACTCTAAAGTAAATTATAATGTATTTAGCTATGTGTATTTCTATGTGCGTGAATCATCCCCAAAGTATTCTTATTAAATTTACAAATTAGTTTTTTAATGAAATTTTGAAAAATGCAATGTATTTAAATTGCAGATATTGTTTTCAGTATACTGTATGTTTTGTGCCCTTAAAACTTGATGTTTTAAAAATGCACCTAACTTGTTATGTGTGATATTCTTAGTCAGAGGTGTGTAAAATGCTTAAAGGTTCTTACCAGAGAAATTGTGCATAACTCAGTGGTTTTAAATGTGTTTTGGTTAGTTTTTAGGGTAAAAAGTAGTTCTAGAATGTATATATAAAAGTAGGATTTCTAATTTCCACTGTGAGCTCTTTAAACTCTTGTTGGCAAAATAGCTTTTCCTTCCTACGAAACAGTTGGGGGGCTGGTTTCAAAGCAGATGCTTTACTTTTGTTCTGATTGTATTGAATATAAAATGTTATGTAGTGACATCTGATGACACTACTTTTCCATAGCATTTATCAGCTTCACTGGGCAAAGTCAGACACTGAGCAAAAGCGGTGATGACATATG